TCCTGGTTTAGTCCTGGTAGACCTGGTTTACATTTGGTTTATTCCTGGCTCAGTCCTGGGTCAGTCCTGGTTTAGTCCTGGTAGACCCGGTTTAGTCCTGGTTTAGTCCCGTTTTAGTCCTGGTTCAGTCCGTTATCTTTTGTTATTTTTATATTAATAATAATGAAGAAAATCGTTTTTTTTTTTTTCATTTTCTTATTTTTGGTTTTATTTTGAAAAACGAACGAACGACACTTGGATTTGTGATTGTGAAGTGTGTGGTGATGTTCTATGTTATACTCGCAGTACTGCGTGTACTCTGCAGTTTATCGGAGCGGACAGTGGGGCATTGTGGGTAATGTAGTTTCCCTCTTGACTCTTGACTCGCTGCATTGAAGCTCGAACACTTACAGCACCTGAGGACGGACGCTGAGGCCGGAGTATTGATTTGTGAATGAACCTGACAGCTCACACTCCGCTCCCGGCTCCACCGTCCCACCGCCGCTTCACCGCTGCACAGGGAGCCATTTTGTTTTATGCTCATTTGAACACCGGAACGATCACAGCTGTGCTTTGACCCCGCGGGGACACCGTAGTTCACTAAAGCCACTCCTGGAATAGCAGCAGTTACGCAGCAGCGGCAGCGGCGGCGGAAGGTGACAAAGTACAAGAGTAAAAGTAGTGTAAGTAGTAAAAGGCTGTGTCCTCAAACCGCCCGACTCTGATGACTTTACCCGTCGAGATTTAGTTTGAGCTTTTCTATTTTTATTCTAGCCTGGAAATTCAGACACCTCCCTGTATTTTTTTATACACGGACATATATATCGAACGTCTTTCACCTCAGAGTTTACTGTCCCCCTTCAAAAGTACAGCGCAAATCATGAGGTTTATATTGTTAAAGGTTGTATGGAGGATTTTTTTTAGTTTCAAATTGTCAGTGATAGATTATAGATGCAGTAGCCTTGTAATTATGATGACCAAAAAAAGAGAATAAAAATTCATCAACTCTGGACGTGGTGGGGCTAAACATTTGCCAATAGATAACGACACTGCCTCGTTATCTGTGAGCTGACAGGCTGTCAATCAAACTCCCTACGTTTCTAGTGTAACTGACTTGCCTGCGCGCCGCCGTTACGTGGTTTACGTACGACTGTCACGCAGTCCACAGACGCACAGACGCTGTTTACTCCACCAACGCAACAGTTCTTAGCGGCTTTTTTTGACCTATATCTTCCTTGCAGTTTGCACAAAGTTTGTTGCGATGGCGACAAGAATCCAGGAGCAGTTCGCCGCAAAAGAAAGTCAGTTTTTGAGGTCGCTGAAAGAAGAAGACAAGGGGAAAAGCAGCGAAGCCAAACTAAGGTGATTCTTGTAGATTCATTCCAGCGATGACGCGACTGAAGCAGACGAAGGGTCTAAAGACTGACGCACTGGTCCACAAATTACTCCTGGACAGGAAACTTCTGCTTATTATGGAAACGTACTTTATTTCCAAGAGCGAGACAAACGTTTTTCAGGACACAAAAGCGATATCCTATGTCTGAAAACGTAATTTTCAACGCAAAGAAAGAGTCCGCTTGCTGCTGCGTGTTGTAGTTAGTTATTCGCACGGAATCTCTGCGCAACCTTCTCTGCACCCTTTCCTGCTCCTCTCCCCGCTGCCCGATCCACTCTTCCCCCTGCTCCTCACTTCTCCGGGCACGGAATCTCCACACACCGCTCCCCTCTCCTCTCTCCTCTTCTCTCTCCTCTCTCCTGCTGCTCTTTCACTTCTCGTCCGCGAACGAAATGTCTGCGCCCCCCTCCCCCCGCTCCTCACTTCTCCGTCTTGACTAACCAACACTGTAGTTAGTTGTTTACAAGTCATGTGCACCGGCTGTAAACAAACCTGTTTCTGGCGTAAGGAGGAGGAGGAGGAGGCGTTTCTACGTAGGAGCTGTAGGGGAGGGGGGGTGGTTTCACACATGCGCAACATTTGAAAAAGGACAAACAGTCGCTGGATTTCTCGTTCCTTGGAAAATCCTCCATACAACCTTTAAAGAACTCACTGGAAACTGAGGTGAAATATATTTTCCAAATGCAGAAGTTAGAAAATGCGAAATACTGATCCCGAGTATATTGAAATATCGACATATCGTATCGTTTAATTTGGTGATACCAGTGGCTCCGTCTGAAACAATCAACTCCTCAAGAACTATTTTGTGGTTATAAAAGCATCTTATTCTACAGAAACACAGTATAAAGAGCCGTGGAGATTCTGTGCACGGAGAAAAAGTGAGGAAAAGTTGCACGGAGATTCCACGCCACGACCGTAGTTTTACGAGAATTCACGTCGTTCGCCTTAACTGCGGGAAAAACTGATATCTCAAGTACTTCAGTCCTGTAGTGACCTGCGATATGAGGGTCCAGGTCTGAACCAGGACTAAACCAGGACTGAGTGTGGATGGGCCTGGAGGTGCACCCGCGTAGACCGTCAGGTGACCACCGGCGAAAGGACCGGCGCAGAACTCTGTGCCATGGGGTTATGTGCAGCCGTCGCCTGATCACACTTTGCAGACACCCTGCTCCACAGGGCTCAGGGTTCTCTCTCTCTCTCTCAAGTCCAAGATTAGTCCTGGTTTAGACCTGGTGTAGTCCTGCTTTGGTCCTGATTCAGTCCTGGTTCTGTCCTGGTTTAGACTTGGTTTAGACCTAATTTAATCCTGGTTTAATCCTCCTGGTTCAGTCACAAATCACATATCCTCCTTTAATGGTAAATCCACACCAAACACGAATGGCGCGAGCAAAGCGAACCATTTCCATGTTAACCCCACGTAAAGACGCGTTGACACGTGAATAAAGTTCTGACGCGAATTGGGCGGCTTGTTTTGAGCAGCACGAATGGGCGAAATGAGCGGCGCGAATTTTCCAAACTGCCGTTGATGCACGAATTCCCAAAAGGGAGGGGCTCGCGATATTCACCAAAATTGAAATTTTTTAACTTTCTGGGAATATTCGTGTCACATCAGTCAGGGTCCGTGCTCTGACAGTGACGTGTAAAGACAGATGTGAACTTTGATTCAACATGGAGGAGACGCTCACTGTTCCCGTGGGAAACGAGCTGATATTATACAGAACAGAGACCGAAAAAACTCCACAGAGCAGGACCGACACCAGACTCTGCCTGGTCCCGGTCTCAGACTCAGTCTGGTCCCGGTCAGGTCCAGTCTGGTCCCGGTCTCAGTCGAGCTCTGGCCGTGGGCTTGAGCCTCCGCGGGGTAAGAGCCTCGGCTTCAAGCACTGGGGCTCTGCCTCCACAAGCTCGCTCCCGCCCACTCGGAGTCCGCTCTGGTACCAGTCTGATCTCGGTCTGGTCTTAGTCTCAGTCCCGGTCTGGTCTCGGTCTGGTCTCTGGTCCTGGTCTGGTCTCGGTCTGGTCCCGGTCTAGTCAGCCCGCTTGATGTATCCAAGTCTGCCATCTTTCCAAATGAAACCAGATGCAGGGGACACTGCACAGCCGCAGTTGATTTTTCAGGAGCGAATTTAGTGGCCGACCAACTTTTTCATTTTAACTCTGCACAAACTCAGTGGACTTAGTAAACGTTTAGTATCACAGCGACGATTTAACCTTTGTTTCTCACACAACCGTCGAATCGATTTGAAATATATCGTATCGAATCATATTGAGTTGAAAGTTAATGACACCCAGAGCCAGTGTTGGGAAGGTGACTTTTAAAATGTAATCCCCTACAGATTACAGATTACATACCCCAAAATGTAGTTTGTAACATAATCCATTAAATTACTTAAAGTGAGTAATGTAATCTGAATACTTTGGATTACTTGATTTTCTGTAGAGAAGCAAACATCAGGATATCGTAACAAAAGATATTTTGTCTGCAAAAAAAAAAAAAAAAAGCCCAGACTTTCCTTAGAAGATCAATAATGCATGGTTTAGTCCTGTTAAATCCTGTTTTAGTCCTGGTTTAGTCCTGTTTTAGTCCTGGTTTAGACCTAGTTTAGTCCTGCTTTAGTCCTGTTAAATCCTGTTTTAGTCCTGGTTTAGTCCTGTTTTAGTCCTGGTTTAGACCTAGTTTAGTCCTGCTTTAGTCCTGTTTTAATCCTGGTTTAGTCCTGGTTTTAGATCGGTTTTAGACCAGTTTTAGACCTGGTTTAGACCTGGTTTAGCTCTAGTTTAGACCTGCTTTTAGTCCTGTTTTAGTCCTGTTTTAAATCTATTTTAGTCCTGGTTTAGTCGTGGTTTTAGACCTGGTTTAGACCTAGTCTAGACCTAGTTTAGTCCTGCTTTTAGTCCTGCTTTAGTCCTGGCTTAGTCCTGGTTTAGTCCTGCTTTAGTCCTGTTTTAGTCCTGGCTTAGTCCTGGTTTAGTCCTGCTTTAGTCCTGTTTTAGTCCTGGTTTAGACCTGGTTTAGCTCTATTTTAGACCTGCTTTTAGTCCTGTTTTAGTCCTGTTTTAAATCTATTTTAGTCCGGCTTTAGTCCTGTTTTAGTCCTGGTTTTAGACCTGGTTTAGTCCTGTTTTAGTCCTGGTTTTAGACCTGGTTTAGTCCTGTTTTAGTCCTGGTTTAGACCTGCTTTAGTCCTGGTTTAGTCCTGCTTTAGTCCTGTTTTAGTCCTGGTTTAGACCTGGTTTAGTCCTGTTTTAGTCCTGGTTTAGTCCTGGCTTAGTCCTGGTTTAGTCCTGGTTTAGCTCTATTTTAGACCTGCTTTTAGTCCTGTTTTAGTCCTGTTTTAGACCTGGTTGAGATCTAGTTTAGACCTGGTTTAGTTTCCAGGAATGAGTGGAATTACCGGGGGGGCCAAAAATGTGAAAACAGGAAAATACCTCCATGTAATCCATTATTTCAACAAAGTAATACAGTTACTCATAATTTGTACTCTGATTACGTCACTCCGGTACTTGTAATCTGTTACTCCCCGACACTGCCCAGAGCTAATCCCAAACTGATCAAAAGTGTGTTTAGGAGGAGTTTGGCGGTACGGTGAGTGTGTGAGGGTGCGGCGGCGGCGGCGGCTCTCACCTGTCCCGGTGCTGTCGTCGTACACCACCGTCACCGTCCTCCACCTGAAGAAGTGCACCAGGTCCAGGATGGCGCGGGACAGCGAGGAGAAGTCGGGGAACAGGCTGACGTAGTACGAGTCGCGGTTGTCCGACACCTGATGTTTCCAGCGCGTCTGGATGTGAGGCACCCCCAGAGCGTTACAGATGGACTGCACCGCGTTGGCCGAGGAGCTGTGGGAGGGGCCGAAGATGGCGGCCACGCCCAGAGACAGCTGGTCACATGCTGAGGACAAAGGAAACAACAAACATTAGGCTCAAAGTGAATCTGTCACTGACACGGTTCCCGACTTTAGTTCACCAAACATGTACGTTAGGATGATTAAACTGGGACTCTGAATCATCAGTGGATTTGAATCTGTGCGTCATTTGTTTGTTCGCTTTTCAAAATAAAACCAAAAATAAGAAAATGAAAATACAAAACAACGACTTTCTTCATTATTTGTCTCCAAAACCGAAATGAAAAAACGGATAATGATTTGTTTTTTGAGTTTCCCGTTTCTGTGACTTAAACTGCGATGCTGGACTGAACCAGGACTAAAACAGGATTAACTCAAGACTAAACCAGGACTAAACCAGGACTAAACCAGGTCTAAACCAAGACTAAACCAGGACTAAACCAGGTCTAAGCCAGGACTAAAACAGGATTAAATCAAGTCTAAACCAGGACTAAAACAAGTCTAAACCAAGACTAAACCAGGACTAAACCAGAACTGAACCAGGTCTAAACCAGGTCTAAACCAGGACTAAAACAGGACTAAACCAGGTCTAAACCAGAACTGAACCAGGTCTAAACCAGGTCTAAAACAGGACTAAAACAGGATTAAATCAAGTCTAAACCAGGACTGAACCAGGACTAAAACAGGATTAAATCAAGTCTAAACCAGGACTAAAACAGGTCTAAACCAAGACTAAACCAGGACTAAACCAGGTCTAAACCAGGTCTAAAACAGGACTAAACCAGGTCTAAACCAAGACTAAACCAGGACTAAACCAGGACTAAACCAGGTCTAAACCAAGTCTAAACTAGAACTGAACCAGGTCTGAACCAGGTCTAAACCAGGTCTAAACCAGGACTAAAACAGGACTAAAACAGGACTAAACTAGGACTAAACCAAGACTAAACCAGGTCTAAACCAGGACTAAAACAGGACTAAACCAGGACTAAATCAAGTCTAAACCAGAACTAAACCAGGACTAAACCAAGACTAAAACAGGTCTAAACCAGGATTAAACCATCTCAGTCCAGGTCTGGTCCCCGCCTCAGTCCCAATCCCAATCTGGTCTCGATCTAGTCTCGGTCTCAATCCTGGTCTCATTTCTGGTCTGATCCCAGCCTCAGTCCTGGTCCCAGTCTTAGTCCTAAACCAGGACTGAACCAGGATTAAATAAGACTAAACTAGGTCTAAACCAGGAGTGTCGGCACAGGCCCGGAGCTGCACCTGCATAGACTGGCAGGTGATCAGGACTGAGACCAGGACTGAGACCGGTTTAAACTTGGTTTAGTACTGGTAGACCTGGTTTAAACCTGGTTCAGTCCGGCATCGCAGTTTAAGTCACAGAAGCGGGAAACATTTTGGATTTAGAATGAAGAAAAAAGTGTGTTTTTTTTCTTTTTTTTTTTCTTTTTTTTGGTTTTATTTTGAAAAACGAACAAATGACACACAGATCGCTTTAGTGTCCTTGTTGTGAGGCTTGATGAAAAACTTGATTCTGTGAAGTTGGTGCAGTCGACTCTTTTTTACAGTATTTCAGGTCTTTTTATGGTGGAAATCATTTTTGGCCTTTGGAGATGGAGCCACTCCTCAAACAGACAGGAGAGAGGGGGAGGACTCCAGCTCTAAAAATACTCTCTTAAAACTCAAACTCTGAATTTCAAACTGTGAAAGGAGCAAATATAGAGATATTTAAATCTGTCTCAGTAAGTCTTGGCTCTCGCAAAAGAATTTGTCACATGGACAGTGTGTGGATATAAATAGTTTTAGGTCCACCTCTACATATCCCATGATTCATTTCAGCACAGACAACATGAAGAAATATGTTTTTACTTGAATAGATGCATCAAGAAACAGTGGGACGTGTCTATTGTCAAAGTCGATCTTTTCAAGTCTTTTGAACCTTTTTGCTTTTGTTTCTGGTTCTGATATTGTCATATTTTAGTTTTGGGATTCGGACATTGTTAATCGTGTGGTTGTTGGATCCTAACAGCGGAAAACGGCTCGAGAAATTTGTTTGCGAACTCCATAAATGCAAAAGTGAATCAGATGTGTGTGACTGCAAACCTCCGTTCAAACTGTTTCTCTTCCCAACGGAATTGAAAAATAGTGAAAGGTGAAGGCGATGGGCAGGACTGATCCACAGGAAGAACCAAAAAGGAAACATTTGTCTGCCTAAAGTTTGCAGCGAACATTTTGTATGTAGAGCGACAACAAAGCAAAATCCCGTTTGTTAATGTAGAGGAGCAGAAGACAAACAGACTGAGCTTCTTGTTCTTGTGGTTTTACAGCAACATCACGTCTTGGTCTCTTTGCAGTGGAAGGTGTTTCTTGGTGAACAGTTGGTGCCTTTCGCTTTGGCGTTGACTTTTTAAATTCGTAACCGAGGTTGAACGACGGATCAGGATTTTGTTTTGTTGGTTCTCCACATACAAAATGTTCACTGCAAACTCGGGATGATTTCTTTTTTGTTCTTCCTGTGGATCAATTCTGCCCATCGCCTTCACCTTTCACTATTTTTCAATTCCGTTGGGAAGAGAAACAGTTTGAACAGAGGTTTGCGTTCACACACATCTGATTCACTTTTGCATTTATGGATTTCGCAAACTTCCGAAGCCCGTTTCTCAAGCTGTTTTCCGCTGTTAGGATCCAACAACCACACAATTACAATATCCGAATCCCAAAACTAAAATATGACAATTTCAGAACCAGAAACAAAAGTGACATGGTTCAAAAGACTTGAAAAGATCGACTTTGTCAATAAACACATCCCACTCATTTTTGTTCACTTTTTCGGAAAATCGTTTATGTTGAACAATTTTTGGTATTTTTTATTTATTATTGCTTTTCTCAGTTTCAAGTGATTATTATTGATTTTTCAGAGGGGTACCAACAATTTTGTCCACGACTGTAGATTTGTTTTCCACATCCCACATTTTTTAGAGAACCAGAACTAGCGTCTCTATTAACAGGGCCTTTACAATATTCAGTGTTGGGAAGGTGACTTTTAAAATGTAATCCCCTACAGATTACAGATTACACACACCAAAATGTATCCATAAATCCATTAAATTACTTAAAGTGAGTAACGTAATCTGATTACTTTGGATTACTTGATTTGCTGTAGAGAAGCAAAGACCAGGAAATCTTCACATAAGATGTTTTGTTTGATAAAAGAAAATGAAAAGTCCAGACTTTACTGAACCAAATAAAAAATATTATTGATAGAAGAAGAAGAGGAGAGACACGGTCTGCGCAACATGGTTTAGTCCTGTTTCCTGTTTTAGACCTGGTTTTGTCCTGGTTTAGACCTGGTTTAATCCTGGTTTTAGACCTGGTTTAGACTTGGTTTAGACCTGGTTTAGATCTGGTTTTAGTCCTGGTTCAGTCCTGGTTTAGACCTGGTTTAGTCCTAGTTTAGACCTGGTTTAGATCTGGTTTAGACCTGGTTTTGTCCTGGTTTAGTCCTGGTTTAGACCTGGTTTAGACCTGGTTTAGACCTGGTTTTAGACCTGGTTTAGACTTGGTTTAGACCTGGTTTAGACCTGGTTTAGTCCTAGTTTTGTCCTGGTTTAGTCCTGGTTTAGACCTGGTTTTGTCCTGGTTTAGTCCTGGTTTTAGACCTGGTTTAGACTTGGTTTAGACCTGGTTTTGTCCTGGTTTAGACCTGGTTTAGACCTGGTTTAGTCCTAGTTTTGTCCTGGTTTAGTCCTGGTTTAGACCTGGTTTAGACCTGGTTTTAGACCTGGTTTAGACCTGGTTTAGACTTGGTTTAGTCCTGGTTTAGATCTGGTTTTAGTCCTGGTTTAGTCCTGGTTTAGACCTGGTTTAGACCTGGTTTAGACCTGGTTTAATCCTGGTTTAGACCTGGTTTTAGACCTGGTTTAGACCTGGTTTAGACCTGGTTTAATCCTGGTTTTAGTCCTGGTTCAGTCCTGGTTTAGACCTGGTTTAGTCCTAGTTTAGACCTGGTTTAGACCTGGTTTAGTGTCCGACAATGAGTGGAATTACCAAAAAAAGAAAAGAAAAAGGGAATAGCCCAAAATGTGAAAACAGTAAAATCCCTCTGTGTAATCCATTTATTTCAACAAAGTAACTGTAATCCAATTACCACTCACTGAAACAGTAACTGTAACCGAATACAGTTACTCATAATTTGTACTCTGATTACGTAACTCCAGTACATGTAATCTGTTACTCCCCGACACTGACGATAAATGTATTTATGTAAAAAACTTGGGCTCTAAAACCGAAGCAGACGGACTGAACCCCCATGAAACAAAGAACGTGTGCGTATACCTTGCACCTCACCTTTCCTGGAGGCCTCGAAGCTGTCGAAGATGTTGATTCTCTGGATGTCGTAGGTGAGCGTGGTGTTGGGCAGGAGCGTGCGGTTTCTGTTGATGGTGTTGAGGGCGAACTTGAAGGCCAGCTCCTCCGCTCCGGACGGGCCGCTCTCCGTCGACTCAAAGATCCCACCTGACGAGGAAAAAAGAAAAACAAACCGGAGGGAGATGTTGAGCGACTGCGCTTCATGATCTCAGGGAAATATAACACGATTTCTTCTGACAATGTGTATGGAACAGATAATACTCCCTACAGATAATACTCCCTACAACTCACGCTTATGTAACAGATAATACTCCCTACAACTCACGCTTATGTAACAGATAATACTCCCTACAATTGTACAACTCACCCTTATGGAACAGATAATACTCCCTACAGATAATACTCCCTACAATTGTACAACTCACCCTTATGGAACAGATAATACTCCCTACAACTCACCCTTATGTAACAGAAAATACTCCCTACAATTGTACAACTTACCCTTATGTAACAGATAATACTCCCTACAAGTGTAGAGGAACTCACTTTTATGGTACAGATAATACTCCCTACAACTGCGCAACAACTCACCCTTATGTAACAGATAATACTCCCTACAACTCACCCTTATGTAACAGATAATACTCCCTACAATGTACAAGAACTCCCTTTTATGGTACAGATAATACTCCCTACAACTCAACCCTTATGGAACAGAAAATACTCCCTACAATTGTACAACTTACCCTTATGTAACAGATAATACTCCCTACAAGTGTAGAAGAACTCACTTTTATGTAACAGATAATACTCCCTACAACTGCGCAACAACTCACCCTTATGTAACAGATAATACTCCCTACAACTCACCCTTATGTAACAGATAATACTCCCTACAAGTGTACAAGAACTCCCTTTTATGGTACAGATAATACTCCCTACAACTCACCCTGATGTAATGAATAATACTCCCTACAAGTGTACAACAACTCACCCTTATGTAACAGATAATACTCCCTACAAGTTTACAAGAACTCACTTTTATGTAACAGATAATACTCCCTACAACTGTGCGACAACTCACCCTTATGTAACAGATAATACTCCCTACAACTCACCCTTATGTAACAGATAATACTCCCTACAACTCACCCTTATGTAACAGATAATACTCCCTACAACTCACGCTTATGTAACAGATAATACTCCCTACAAGTGTACAAGAACTCACTTTTATGGTACAGATAATACTCCCTACAACTGCGCAACAACTCACTTTTATGGTATAGATAATAATCCCTACAACTGCTCAACAACTTTACCCTTATGTAACAGATAATACTCCCTACAAGTGTACAAGAACTCCCTTTTATGGTACAGATAATACTCCCTACAACTGCGCTACAACTCACCCTTATGTAACAGATAATACTCCCTACAACTCACGCTTATGTAACAGATAATACTCCCTACAACTGTACAACAATTCATCCTTATGTAACAGATAATACTCCCTACAAGTGTACAAGAACTCACTTTTATGGTACAGATAATACTCCCTACAACTGCACAACAACTCACCCTTATGTAACAGATAATACTCCCTACAACTACAACTCCCTTATGTAACAGATAATACTCCTTAAAAACTGCTCAAACAACTCACCCTTATGTAGCAGATAATACTCCCTACAACTGCACAACAACTTACCCTTATATAACAGATAATACTCCCTACAACTGCACAACAACTCACCCTTATGTTGCAGAAAATACTCCCTACAACCACATACACTACAAGTATTAGTGAGTCGGTTCAGATTTCAGTCTTTTTGTCAGTTGTGGGGTGAACTGACAAACTAACACCAATAGTACGCACAGTTGTAGGGAGTATTATCTGTTCCCATAAGCCTGAGATACGAGGAGCTAAACTAATACAAGTATTTCAGGACACGGAGACACACTGGCTATTTTATTGTTCGGTGGAAATTCTTTTGACCTAAATAATTACAATCAGTGACAGGAATGAATTAAAAAACCCGTGAAGCTCCCGTAGAGTTATAACGACCCCTGCCCCCCTGCCCTACATCGTCAACTCTGCACACACACTTTCCAAATTAAAAGTTTGTTATTATTCGCACGACAACAAAGCAATCACGTCGCGCGTAAGTGACTCCGCGCTCTAAATCATCCCGTTTAGCGCCCGTGTCATCGCCGCTAATTGTCTCCATTAGAACTCTACGGAGGCGCGTCCCACTGCGTCCCCTTCGTCTCGTCTGCCGCGCTCGTGCTTCTCCCGCGGACGACGGGAGACGAACCGCGGCGGCTCAATCAAACACCGGAGAGAGAGTCAGACTTGAGTAAGACGATTTTCCCCCGAAGAGAAACGATTTATGAAGAGTTATTAAAGATGATCCACGCTGAGCACAAACAACAGACACAACAGAGACTGAACCAGGTCTGAACCAGGACTGAACCGGGTCTGAACCAGGACTGAACCAGGTCTGAACCAGGACTGAACCAGGTCTGAACCAGGTCTGAACCAGGTCTGAACCAGGACTGAACCAGGACTAAACCAGGACTGAACCAGGTCTGAACCAGGTCTGAACCAGGTCTGAACCAGGTCTGAACCAGGACTGAACCAGGACTGAACCAGGTCTGAACCAGGACTCTGAACCAGGACTGAACCAGGACTGAACCAAGGACTGAACCAGGACTGAACCAGGACTAAAGCAGGACTGAACCAGGACTAAAGCAGGACTAAACCAGGACTAAAAGCAGGACTGAACCAGGACTGAACCAAGGACTGAACCAGGACTGAACCAGGACTGAACCAGGTCTGAAACCAGGACTGAACCAGGTCTGAACCAGGTCTGAACCGAACCAGGACTGAACCAGGACTGAACCAGGACTAAACCAGGACTGAACCAGGTCTGAACCAGGACTGAACCAGGACTGAACCAGGACTGAACCAGGTCTGAACCAGGACTGAACCAGGTCTGAACCAGGACTGAACCAGGACTGAACCAGGACTGAACCAGGACTAAACCAGGACTGAACCAGGACTGAACCAGGACTGAACCAGGTCTGAACCAGGACTGAACCAGGTCTGAACCAGGACTGAACCAGGACTGAACCAGGTCTGAACCAGGTCTGAACCAGGTCTGAACCAGGACTGAACCAGGACTAAACCAGACTGAACCAGGACTAAACCAGGAACCAGGACTGAACCTGAACCAGGTCTGAACCAGGTCTGAACCAGACTGAACCAGGACTGAACCAGGACTGAAACCAGGTCTGAACCAGGACTGAACCAGGACTGAACAGGACTGAACCAGGAACTGAACCAGGACTGAACCAGGACTAAAGCAGGACTGAAACCAGGACTGAACCAAGACTGAACCAGGACTGAACCAGGTCTGAACCAGGACTGAACCAGGACTGAACCAGGACTAAACCAGGACTGAACCAGGACTAAACCAGGACTGGACTGAACCTGAACCAGGACTGAACCAGGACTGAACCAGGACTAAAACAGGACTGAACCAGGTCTGAACCAGGTCTGAACCAGGACTGAACCAGGACTGAACCAGGACTGAACCAGGACTGAACCAGGTCTGAACCAGGTCTGAACCAGGACTGAACCAGGACTAAACCAGGACTGAACCAGGTCTGAACCAGGACTGAACCAGGACTGAACCAGGACTGAACCAGGTCTGAACCAGGACTGAACCAGGTCTGAACCAGGACTGAACCAGGACTGAACCAGGACTAAACCAGGACTGAACCAGGACTAAACCAGGAACTGAACCAGACTAACCAGGTCTGAACCAGGCTGAACCAGGACTGAACCAAACTGAACCCAGGTCTGAACCAGGACTGAACCAGGACTAAACCAGGTCTAAACCAGGACTGAACCAGGACTGAACCAGGTCTGAAACCAGGACTGAACAGGACTAAACCAGGACTGAACCGGACTGAACCAGGTCTGAACCAGGACTAAACCAGGACTAAACCAGAACCAGGACTGAAACCAGGTCTGAACCAGGACTGAACCAGGACTAAAGGGTCTGAACCGGGACTGAAAACCGGGTCTGAACCAGGTCTGAACCAGGGATGAACCAAGACTGAACCAGGACTTAAACCAGTCTGAACCCAAATTGAACCAGGTCTTTGAACCAGGTCTGAAACCAGGTCTGAACCAGAGACTGAACCAGGTCTGAACCAAGACTTGAACCGGACTGAACCAGGACTGAACCAGGACTGAACCAGGACTGAACCAGACTGAACCGACTAAACCAGGTCTGAACCAGCGACTGAACCAGGACTGAACCAGGACTGAACCAGGTCTGAACCAGGACTAAACCAGGACTGACCCAAGACTGAACCAGGACTGACCAAGACTAAAACCAGGACTGAAACCAGGTCTGAACCAGGACTGATGGCTGATGTTTATCTGGCCTCAACACGTCCACAGTTGATAGATTTTCGTTCTTTTTTTTTTGGTCATCATAATTACAAAGCTGCTGCGTCTCTGTAACGGTGTTTTAATCTTTCACTGACAATTTGAAACTAAAAAAAAAAATCCTCCATACAACCTTTAAATTAAGAGTTATGTTGCAGCAATAGCTTTAAAAAGACAGAGGGAACTACATAGACCAGGGGTGGGCAAACTTTTTGGCTCGGGAGCCACACGGGATTCTAAAATTTGAAGGGCTGGACAAGAGCAGATGGATGGAATGGAAGGAAAAAAATAACATGGGATATGTAGAAAATCTGTGTTTGAATTTCAATTGAAAGTCACTACAAACATCACAACAAAATATCTGTCTTTCTAAAACACCGAAAATTAAATTAATAAAATACTTTTTTATTTTTTTAATTACTAACAGTTACTATTTAAAACAGTACGCAAGTGTGTTATATTTGCTCTGGTGCATTGTTTATAATGAGTGCGTAAACATGCACATCAGTATCTCGGTTTTTTGAGTCATGGTGCATGTAAACGCACTAACCCGGTTACAAGAATGTAAAGTTGAGTGCGAATGCGTCCAAAAGACAAATACTTCTGAAATACTTTCCAGAGCGCCATCTAGTAGTAGCCATCTCCATAATTTCTTCAGCCTAACTACCTAAACTCGAATTTC